AATTAAACATCATATATATATATCAATAATGATAATATTTATTTACCTACCTGTCGTCACTATTTGAGTCTCTGTTATATTAACAAGTGCATCTTAAATATAAATATAAATATAAATATATATATATATTAATTATTATTAAGGATTTGGACAATATAAAATATTCAAACTTAATCCATTCATCTATTTAATTAATTAGATTATGGAAATATATAATTTATATTTGTGTAAAAGAATACATACTTAGAGCAGTTTTCAAATGATGTTGTTCAATTTCCATTTCTGCAAACATTCGATAAATTAGTGGTACATCTTGTTTGTATTCTTCAGGAAATTTTTGATATTGTGAAAGTGTTGCAAGATAAATTCTTCGTGCCTTTCCAAAAAAAAAAATAAGTTATTTGTTATTGATAAAGAATAATTAAACGAATTTTGAATGAATACATCTGTTATATTATTCATAGATTTTTCAAGTAATGCATATCCATTCCAAAATGACAAGTTTGTTGATTCTTTTTCCAACATATTTCTTGCAAGATTTTTTGCACTATATAATTAATTTTATAAAAATTTTTGTTACTTGTAATAATTAATAACATTATTAAGATAATTCATTAAAAGTATTAACCTTGAAACATCATATAATTGCTCTAATGCTAATTGACATAATTTAATTCCTGGATCATTTATACGTTGTGATATTTGGGAGATGGCATTTCTATTACAATTAAAATATTGTTACTAATAAAAAAATGAATTAACATGTAAATGAGCTTAAAAAGTATCAGGTAATATATGGTTTGTTTTTACCTTGCAAAATTCATATTTATATTATAACTTTCAATATTATCACAAATTGAAGGCCAATTTTCTGATTTAAACAAATTGTTTGATTCTTGTGGGAATGCCTTGATGGGAAACTTAAAAGTATACATCATTGCTGTTTTTGTTTCTGTTGCTGCTGATGATGATGATGATGTTGTTGTTGTTGTTGTTGATGCTGTTGTTGTTGTTGTTGTTGTTGTTGTTGTTGTTGTTGTTGTTGTAGCTGCTGCTGATGATGATGATAATGAAATATTTGACCAAAAACTATTTTCTGATATTAATTCATTTGCAAGTTTAGAATTCAAAAATGAATCAATTATCAAAGGATTTGATGATGAATAAGAAGGATTAAAAGATGTTCCAACAAAATCAAGACATGCATATAACAGCTCTAAATGTGACTCGGTTGAAGTCAAATCAAATAAAAAACTACAAATATCATCAAAAATCACAATTCTATATGGATCATCTAGATCTGATTCGTCAATGATTTCTGTATAAAAAATATAATGAATAAATTATATTTATTATTATTATTAT